TCTCCCCTTTCTCCCATTTCGGGGGGGGGGGGGGCTTTAGCCCCAGAAGCCCCCCCTTGGCTACGCCCTTGCTTGAAGGAAACAACATTTCTATTCCTTATTTAATTTTAGGTCTTGAACGTCTCGCAATGATCCTTTATGGCATCCCAGACATTCGCCTCTTTTGGTCGACGGATACAGGCTTTACCAATCAATTTAAAGGACTAAATCCCTCAGATGTTGTAAAATACAAAGAAATCAGCAAACAACCACAACTTTTTATGGATATTTCTTTTTGGTTGCCAGAACACTTTGAAGGGGATTCTAGTATTGAATCAGTACGTTCTGATGTTTTTGATGTTATTCGAATGATGGGAGGCGATTTGATCGAACAAGTATTGCTAATTTATTTAAACATTAGTTAGGACCCGAAGTAAAGGAAATTCATGTTTGAGGGGAATCATCAAAAAATGAAAATTATTCGCCTTCGACCCCCTTTTATTATCAATCCTCCTATTCCTTCTAATTTTCCTTTATTTTCTCGTTTCATAAGGGAAAATTCTCTCCATTATTCCTCTACATAATCGATAATTATTAGGGTTGTTCGCCGTTCCCGGTAGTCGGGAAATTTGTGTGTTTTTTAAATCTCCCCCCCCCGTGGCGCTGTTTCCCCGAAAACTTATCCCTGTAGCCCCCCCCCCCCCCCCCAGTGGGGAACAATCATAATAATTATTTTGTAATATTTTCTTCTTCACATTTTTCTTTTTTCTAGGTATCATTGTCAGATGAATATTTAAATAAGAAGACTGGACGTAAAAGCCAGACTTATAGAATTACATACCGAAGTATGGACCGTCCACTTTCCAAGGAGGAAGTTAATGTTATTCATAAGAAGATTGAATCTTATTTAGTTGACAAATTTGGAATGGACATTCGTTAAATATTTTTTTTGGTTTTTAAGTTAATTTAGACTTTCTTGTTTTTATTTAATTTTATGTATTTTAAAATATAAATGAATGCTTTAATTTTTATTATTTTTTTTTAAATTTATTATTAAAAAATATTTAATATTTTTTCTTTAATTTTTCTTTAAATCTTTTTTTATTTTTTATATAGAAAGAAAAAGTATTTTTATGGATGAGCCTATTTTAGCACTTATTTCCCTTACTTTATTTGTTGGCTCCTATTTTGCTGGATGTATTCCTTTGTTTTTTACCCTGAATGAGGTAGGGAATTAATTTTTATTTAATTTTATTAATTTTATCAAAATTAAGAAAAGAATTCGAATTGCGAGTATATTTGGTGCGGGTCTGTTGGTAGGCACTGCTCTTTGTGTAATAATTCCTGAAGGAGTTTCTGCACTTTTGGAGTCATCTAATTCTCATTTAGAGAATCAACAAATAAGTAAATTTGTGAGGTATTTCTTTTAAAATGTTTTAATTTTAAGTAAATCAGCCAGTCCAGGCAAAACTTTCTGAACAAATGGCTTTGAATATACCAAAACCTGCAGTAGTTCCTATTGTCAATGATGATCAACGATTGAGGAATCAACGAAATGAAGGAAAAGTTGATGATAAAAAGTAAATCTTTTTTTAATTTAAAGAGAATTCTTTTGGGAATTCTTCGGTTTAGACCCCCTACCATTTTCGTGGATGCTTGACCATTTAGAGCTTTTTTGCTTGATCTATAATTTAGCACATATCATTCGAAATAGTTCTTCGAGCTGGGTAGAATGATACACTTAAGAAAATTAAGAAGCTAGATCCTTTGCTCCTCTGCAAGGGATTAATACATGCGATCATAACTTTGTTCAGTTAAGTCGGATTTCGTTTATTTTAGCCACATTTGACCCAACTCGGAAAGCTTTTTCTAATGATTTATAATTAGCCGTAATAAGATAACAGATGCCACAAAAGGTTTCTGGAAAATGACGGAGGGGGGATCTAAACCGAAGAATTACCATTCTTTCTTTTTTAAAGTAAGGAAAGTAATGTTGCACCAATCGAAAATAATAAAATTAAAGAAGAAAGCAACAAAAATTTAGCAAAATTTCCTAAAAAACGTGAAGTCTTATACAATAAAAATCATCCAGATAAACATTTTGATGAAAGTCAGCACAAAAATAGTATTGATGGGAAAATTGGTTTTCCTCTTCTGATTGGATTTTTATTTATGTTTGTAATTGAACAATTAACAAAAATGGGGACATATGGCAGAAATAATAGTAAAAGTGTTTCTACAATTGGATTGGTTATTCATGCATTTGGTAAGTGAATTTTATTATTTCTTTTTAAATTAAAAAAAATATTTTTCAAGCTGACGGAATAGCTATGGGAAGCGCGTCAAGTGCCGGATCCAAATTGGAAATGCAAATGCTTGTTTTTGTTGCTATTATGTTACATAAGGTTTCTTTTCTTATAATTTGTTTAAAAAATTAACTTTAAAAAAGGCCCCTGCAGCATTTGCCCTAACCAGTATTCTTTTGGCGCAAGGCCTTGACAAATTGAGGATACGCCGGCATTTACTAATATTTTCGTTAGCTGCTCCAATTGGAACTGTTGTTACCTACGCTTTACTTCAAATGGTTTGAATCTTGTAAAATTTTTTAAAATAAATTTCAGACTTCTGGAACAGTTGAAGGACCTGTGACTGGAGAAGCACTTCCATCTTCGAATGTTACTGGCTTAATTTTGCTTTTTTCTGCGGGCACTTTTCTTTATATTGCGACTGTTCATGTTATGCCAGAATTAATGGTTTGGAGGATTCTTTTGAAACAAAACTTATTTTTAAATATTTAAGGAATCCCGATGTTCTTCAATCCAAAATTCTGGAATGAATGGAAGTCGAGAATTATTACTTGGAGGACTAAGTACTTCACAATCTTCCGGGAGACCTTCAATCTTTGATATTTTAATTTTCTGTGTTTCTGCATTGATTCCTGCTTTCATTTCTTCAGTAAGCCATGGAGGACATGGACATTAATTTTGGTGATTTTCAAAGTTTATATTGATATTGTATTAATATTCTAAAGAACTTTAAGACTGGGAAAGGATCTGATTGAATATATTCTATAAACAAATTCGGAAAAGTCTAACAAAGCTGTTTCGAAATTTCTAAACATTTTTAAATGAAAACACTTTGCTAGTGTTATAAAACTCCTGAAACTGGATGCGTAAATCACCCCCAAAATTTTTCGATTACTCATCCAGCTTTCCTTTACTCATCTAATCTTTATTTTTTTCAATTTGTTACTTGTCAACATCGTTTAGAAAGGATTGAATGCCCACAGCCGTTGCAACTGGACTTATTTTCCTTGAAATTAATTTTTAAATATATTTAAAAAACTTGTCTAATGTAAAACTCGCATATTTATCATCACAGATTTATTTTTATTTCCTTCAAGTTCAATCGGTGGATCTGAATCCCGCCAATCATTAAAGAGATTGACGGGATTAAGAGGGATATCGGTGGTTCCAAACTTGTTGTGTTAACTTTACTATTTTTTAATTTATTTTAGATTCAGGTGAATGGCATGTTCGAATGTCCGTGCCGGATCAAGGCCATCTACCCAGGAAATGGCACCGTCATTGTCCATTACCTTGACCGCAGGGTCAACCGGGGATAAGTGATTGGCGGAATTAAGGGGGATATAGGTAGACTTGGGGGGAGGGATTAAATTGGCATACTTTGTTGTTTTAGTCCAATGGTATACGTCTATCTCCAAACTTTCCCAACAACACGTCTCTTCCTTGATGCGCTTCAGCGCAACTGGTTTTGGTCTCGACACGGTGGTCGTCGTCAGACTCCTGATGGCGAGGTTGAATACTACAATTGTCGGGTCTGATTTAAAAAAAAATTTAATATAGATCATTCTCTTCTTTCTCTTCCGATATCTTTCTCTTCTGGATCTTTCTCTTCCTTAAATTATCTAAAATTTAATATCCCCCCCCCCCCCGAAAAATTTTCCTGCCTATCTTCCTGTATTCATTCTATATTAAAATTTTTTTTTAAATCAGACCCGACAATTGTAGTATTCAACCTCGCCATCAGGAGTCTGACGACGACCACCGTGTCGAGACCAAAACCAGTTGCGCTGAAGCGCATCAAGGAAGAGACGTGTTGTTGGGAAAGTTTGGAGATAGACGTATACCATTGGACTAAAACAACAAAGTATGCCAATTTAATCCCTCCCCCCAAGTCTACCTATATCCCCTTTAATCCCGCCAATCACTCATCCCCGGTTGACCCTGCGGTCAAGGTAATGGACAATGACGGTGCCATTTCCTGGGTAGATGGCCTTGATCCGGCACGGACATTCGAACATGCCATTCACCTGAATCTAAAATAAATTAAAAAATAGTAAAGTTAACACAACAAGTTTGGAACCACCGATATCCCTCTTAATCCCGTCAATCCCTTTAATGATTGGCGAGATTCAGATCCATCGATTGAACTTGAAGGAAATAAAAAAATAAATCTGTGATGATAAATATGCGAGTTTTACATTAGACAAGTTTTTTAAATATATTTAAAAAATTAATTTCAAGGAAAATAAGTCCAGTTGCAACGGCTGTGGGCATTCAATCCTTTCTAAACGATGTTGACAAGTAACAAATTGAATTTATTTTCTGCATTTCTTCACCCAAACATTTTTAAGTTTAAAACAGTTTTGTTAATGTTTTAAAATTCAGATCTTTTCCTTTCTTAATAAAAACAAGCTAAAGATCCTCTGAAAATGGAGTTAAATAGGAAAACTGCCTGAAAATTTTTTTAGTCTTATGAATCCTCTTAAAAATCTTATCTTTAGCCTGTTTAAAAAATGTTCACTTCAAAAACCATTCAAGTATTCTACTTTAAATCATTTTTTGCTTAAAAACATGGATCAGAATTAAATTATTTTTTAGTATTTCTAACATTTATGTATTGACCCCCCAGCCTTCCAAATTGTCTGATACATGTCATTTTTTTGCTTTACTTATTTTTTTTCTGTTAATATTTTGATTTCATGTTAGTTAAAGAGGGATATAAAAAATGTAAATAAATTATTAATTTTTTATTATTTAAATAATCTGTAAAATAATTGCAAAATATTAATTTTTTGGTTTTTACAGCTACAAAAATAGTAGGCAATTTAAATAAAATCCAAATAAAATTAGAAATATAGTATTAAAAATTTAATTCTTTAAATCATTATTTTTTGGCAACCATTCCCTCGATTTTTCCAAGCAATCAATTACTTCCTCTTAAAAATATTTTAATAAAATAAGAAATATTTTAAAAAATGTTTACCATCGCTAGTCTGGTCAAATTTTGTATAATGAAGTCCAACAGCAGAAAAATTTGGAGGGGTTTCAAGAACAAGTACTTCATTGCCTTCTGCACGAAGTTCGGCTTAAGAGAATTTTTTATAGAAAAATATAATTTAAAAAAATACCAAGAGTATCAGAGGGAGCTAAAGGGGATGCCAACAATGCTTTTGCAACATTCTTTTGACGTAATGCTTTCATTGCTACTCTCGCTGTCCCTCCTGTAGCTATTCCGTCATCAACAACAATTGCGATTTTGCCGGCAAGTGAAAGAGGAGGTCGGTCACCCAAATAACGCTAAATTATTTTTGGGAATTTTAAATAAAATTTTAAAATTAAAAAAAAACGTTTCTTTGGCGTGCAATTTCCTTCAATTGTTTTTCCATCATTGCTTGAACATATCCCTCTGGAGGTTGAGTGTATTTAACAGCATCCTCGTTCATAACCAATTCTGGAGGGTTACCTTCAACTACGGCACCTATTCCATATTCTTCATGTCCTGGAGCACCGATTTTGCGAACCTTGAGAAAAATTTAAAAATCAAAAAAATTAAGAGAAAACCATTAACAAATCCAAAGGTGCCCCCAGCGATTTTGCCACTTCAAAAGCCACAGGCACACCTCCTCTCGGTAATGCTAGAACCACAACTTTGTCCCTTTGAGATTTAAAATTCTTTAAAGCTTCTGCCAATTTTTGCCCGGCATCATGGCGGTCTTTAAAAGGAGCAGTAGCTGCACGATTGAAAAACATGGTAGATCTAGCTATAGATGAAGCTGACAAAATTTTTTTTTATTTATTTTTAAAGAATTGATTAAAATAAATCTATAAACAATGAAAACAAAAACAACTTAAAAGAAAACAATAGGGCAGAGAAGTTCCCTCAAATTCTCTAACCATTAGGATTTTTTGTCAAAAATACATTTTGCCAATTTTTTACTAATTTATTTCAATTTAAAATTTAAATATCGTAAATCCATACTGTTGATTTACCTTGTGAGTTATTTCTTAACAAATATTTTATCAGAAACATTTAAATTATTTTATCTAATCTATTTATTATCCATTGATTTTGTCTCACTATTAGAGAGCGAGATTTTCAAAAAACCTTGACCTTGATTTCGGTTAGGTACCTTGACCAGATTCTTCACCTTGAGTCAAGGAAAAATCAAGAAACTCTGAAAAATGCCTTGATCTGGACACTGCGGATCCAGGGAAAATCAAGGTCTAGATCCAGATCCAGCTCGCTCTCTACTCACTATTTCTTCAAAACTTAAAATATAATTAATTACAAGGTTCTGATGGAGACCCATCTTTAGCTTCATTTTTATTAGCCTTTGCTAATATAGAATATTTATGGCTGTACTTTAGTACGTGGGTCCCGAGCTTGATATACAAATGTTATACCATTTGAAAGAGCTCGTCGAGCTGAGTCGAATGACACCAGTTTTAGCCCGAGGAAAAATTTTTGAACCGAGATATAGGCCCCCGAAAATCGAAAAACCATAGGGGGGACCAAGCACTTTTTTGGGGTGAAAAATTCGAAAATGCAAATTATACCTCATTCGAAAGAGCTCATCGAGCTGAGTCGAATGACACCAAAATCAACGAAAACTGACTTGATTTGACAAAGTTATGATCTTTTCTTTTAGCTCCTTACCTATGGCATTTGTGGAGATTTTTGCTGCTACGGAGGCCCCAAATACGTCCAGAGCAAGGGAGATAGGAATAGGTTTATGTTACGAGCCCAGACCCAGCGCCCGTAGACTCCCCGCGAGGCGCGTGCCGCAAAACCCCGCGCGAAGCGCGGGGTTTTGCACAAGCGCCTCGCCGACGACCCATAGGTTTAGAGTTTTTTGTTTTTCTGTTATAACTTTGTCTAATCTTGTTCAATCACGGTGATTTTGGTGTCATTCGACTCAGCTCATCGAGCCCTTTCGAATGAGGTATAATTTAGATATTCGAATTTTTTGACCCCAAAAATTTTCAAATTTCGGGGGTCTGTAACTCGTCCATATGAAGTCTGATTTCGTTGATTTTGGTGTCATTCGACTAAGCTCGATGAGCTCTTTCGAATGAGGTATAATTTGCATTTTCGAATTTTTCACCCCAAAAAAGTGCTTGGTCCCCCCTATGGTTTTTCAAATTTCAGGGACCTATATCTCGGTCCAAAAATTTTTCCTCGGGCTAAAACTGGTGCCATTCGACTCAGCTCGACGAGCTCTTTCAAATGGTATAACATTTGTATATCAAGCTCGGGACCCACGTACTAAAGTGACCCCATATTTATTTCCAAATAATTCTTTTGAATTTGCTGATAAAAACTTTGCTAAAAAAATAATTTTTTTATTTAAATTATTAATTAAAATTAAAAAATATTCACAATTTCCAATCTTCCGATTAAATTCAATTTGTTGTTTTTTTGGTTGCTTTTTCGATCGAGAGTCGCCAGAATTTGTGTTGAAATTAAAAAGAGTTGGTTGGACTGTTAATAATAAAATATAAAAATCTCTAGACTAATTATCTTTCCCCACAAATATAAAACAATACTTACTACTATTATTATTTCCAGCAAAAACACAAAATATTAACAAATAATTATTTAAAAAAATAATTAATATTATTAAAGAATTCATATTTTTTAAAAAAATTTATTTTTCAATAAATGAATTTATCAGGGGATTTTAAAGGGAAGCCGAAAAGCACTTTGACTGATTTCATTATTTCCTATGACAAAATAATTTAAGTCTCGCCATATGACAATTTGTTTTCCTTAGATATTCATATAAATTAAACAAATAGACAAAAATGCTATATATTTTTCAAACAAAATACAATTTTCTGTCTCTATGTGATACAAAAATGTAGATATGCTAAATGTAACCAGAATATAATAGACTTCTGAAAGCTCACGTAATGTTCCAGTAGAAACACAAAATATTCCAAATCTCAATAAAAATATTAAAAAGAATTTCATTTTTCGAGAAGTATTTTTCATTGAATGAGGGAACCCCCCTAAATGATGAAATGCAAAGTGCAATTTCATCATAGGATTTCTTAAAATATGTAAATACATATTTCTACGACGATCAGAGATCCCTCTAGGGACCGATTTCTTAATCCATATTATTGAACATTTAGAAAAAAATTTTGTTTTCAAAAATATTTACTAGCATTTTTCCAAAAGTTCTAAATCAAATAAAGAAGAATTATTAATTTTATCGCTTGAAAGACAGAAAAAAAATTTGTTGCCTCCCTATATTATAGGCATTCTAAAATACAACAAAAATAATTTAAATTTATTTAATTCGTTCAACTTGGAATCTGTCAATATAATCTTCTTCAATACAATCCCAATAACTTATCAAGAACTTCACTTTAGAATTATGAATATTTGTAATTTCATATTTTAAGACTTTGTGAGGTTCTCCCTTATATTTTGTTGTAAATCGTTGAATGTTCTTAGCTCGTTGACTGATTTTTTTAGGTTGCATATCATAATAATCCCAATTAACTCTAAAGTCAATGTTGGACAAAATATTTGAAGGATTTGTTGTAGTTTCGATTGCCTATTAAAATTTAAAATTTTTTATTGAAATTATGCAACTTTTTTTGCTAGAGAATTAGCCATCGGGCAGGATTCGAACCTATGTATAATCTCATTAAGCTTTGATTTGTTTATTGAGTTGCAGGGCTGACTTCTTAAACTTTTTTATATATTCTCTAAACTTAAAAACTAACAGGGAAACATCCCGAACTGCATGTAAAAATTCCGAAAAAATTTTAGCACAGTCGTGTAGAGCAGGGTCGAAAACCTATTGGCCATTTTTTTCTTTTTCCCCCTGACCTCCAAATCGAAAAGTTATAGCTGATCAAAGTTTCAGTATTTTAGAGCGGCAGAGTCTCCTTCATTTTTAATATTAAAGGTTTCGACCCTTCATTCCGACCCTGCTCTACACGATGGTGCAAAAATTTTTTGAAATTTTACATACAGTTCGGGTAAATGCCGTCCAAATTAATTTTTCCTTTCTTATTACTTACAATTATAATATATTTATTAATTTATTTACCTTCAATATAATATCATGCCATTCATTTAATTTTGCATATCTAACACAAATATTTGGAAATCTTTTTCCTTCATTCAAAATAATATTCAAAATTGGATTCAACTCATTTTCATCAGTTATTTCATATTCTGCCACAGCACAAGTAAATTTAACTTTAAAAGATTCACAAACAGCCAAATTATGCAAAACAAAATTCATTCCAAAATTGGGTTCGTAATATTTTAAAAAAGCATTTTTAATTTTGAATTGAGGAGGAATTGAGTAGTCATTAAAGAGTAATTTAATAAATCGATGACTGAACAAAATTTTAAAAAATTTGGCATCCTCGAAGACACAACTAAAAAGGCGTTCCACCCAATAACGAATAATTAAGAGGTCGTCAATATTTTTTGGAGAGGTTGGAATTTTGAAGAGCACTCTTTGTGACATTGAATTGTCTTTAAAAAATATTTAATTAATCAAAAAATTAAAATTAACCTTTAATAACAAAATAAATTTCAGTCAAACGTTTGTTTAAACAAAGCTGTCTTCCTACCAAAAATTCCCACTAAAAATTCAAATAAAAATAGGTACTTTTCCGTTAATCGAACAGCTATAACTTTCTGATGCTTGATCCAATATAAATGAATTTTATATCATTCGAAAGCCCTCGATAAGCTTTATCTTTTAGCAAAGTGTATAGAGCAGGTCTGATCACTCATAAAAAAAGTTATACCCCGATAATAGTGAAAAACGATTTCTTGCATTTATCGACTTGTAACATTTTTATGAGTAATCAGACCTGCTTGATCTATACAGTTGGGTAAAAGATAGAAATTATCGAGGGCTTTTGAATGATATAAAATTCCGTTGTGTAAACATAAAAAATTTATAGCTGTTCAAATTCGGCTGTTACTCAGTTTGCGGTCAATTAACGGAAAAGTACCAAAAAAATTTTAAACAAAATCTCAAACCTTCTCTTTCAATTCATCAGTCAATTTAAAATTAAAATCATCCAAATTAGGCTCTAATTCCAGAAAAGGATCAATTCCATTTTCAATTTCCTCACCAAAAACTTCATCAAAACGTTTCTCGTCCAACTTTAAATAAATAAAAATTTAAAAAAAATAAAATATTTAAAATTACAATATAAAGTTTTTTGCAATGAAAACGTGTCAATTCATTTTCATATCGAATAAATAAATCATTAAAATGCCGCTTTGTTTGCCGAATAGAAAGTAATTGATAAAAATTGAGACATTTGAAAACGTCAAGTTTTGCTTCTGTTGAAAGATTGAAGAGCATTTTAAAAATAAAATTTTGTCTTCTAAAAACAAGAAAATTTAGTGTTTATTAATAAAGCTGAAGTTTTTGAGTCGGGCCGATGCTCGAGGCATTTTTTTGGATTTATTTTGGACCCGGTCTTATTTTTACCTTAATAATTGTTCGACCTCACCATTTAAAAGTTCAATGAGTCTTGTTTGAATATGTCACAGGGGAATATAGGAGAATAGAGGAAGGAGAAAATCTGAGAATTATTTACAATTTTTAGCAAGCTAAAAAATGGGGGAGGGGGGGGGAGGAAGAGGGGACAGTTTGGAATTACCCTTCTGTCATTTCCTGGTCAAATATCCTATGCCAGACCCAATTTTCGGACCGAGTCGGTCCATTTTGGTAACCCTTAAATACTCATAAAAGATATTTACAAGTTTAAAATTGTTTTAAAGAAACAAAAAAGTTTTTGCATATTTTTAAAAGAATTTATGTATGTAATTATAATTGTGATCAACAATAAAAAAATAAAATAAACCAAAAATTGAAATTTTATTTAACCAAATACTATTTTTTAAACAAATTTCTATTTTTGTTCAGTCAACAAATCCGTTCTAAAAATATAAATGTTAAAAATTGATCCATCTTCCATTTCTATAATGTAAAACTGAAATTTCACTTCTGGATTGTATATATTGGAAATTTGGTATGTTGTACGTTTTATTTGATTAGATAATTCAATTTTAACATTTTCTGCTCTCTCGTCCAATTCAAAATTTGTGAAGAAAGAATAATCTAGAATAATAGTAGACACAATTTTCGAAAGGTTCTTTGATGTTGCTACATACTAAAAAAATAAAAAAAAAATTTTCCAATCTATATCCTGGCCCGTAGCCGGGAGGGGGGGGGGGGAATTCATTTAAATTTTTATTAATCCCCCCCTCCCCCCGAAATGGGGAAAGGAAAAAATTTGGGGAAGGGTTTAGGCCAGGGCTCCGATTCATACTTTATTTGAAAGTATTGTACTTTCAAATCGACCTCCGTATTTACGAAATTGAATTTGTACTTTTTTGAAAGTATGTACTTTGAAATCAACATTTCAGAAAAAATAGAAAAGATCTGGCTTAAAGACCTCCAAAATTCAGAAAATTTTCGCCTGCAGCGCAAAAATCAAAATTTTTGGCGCCTTCGGTGCCAAAAATTTGTATCATAAAATTTTCCCCCTTGGCACCCCCCCCCCTAAATTTTCTAATTTAATTTGGAATGTACTTTTTATTTGGAAATTTAGTCCCTATGTACTTTTAAATCGAGATTTTTGTACTTTTGATTGTAATTTTGTCGATCGGAGCCCTGGTTTAGGCCCCTTTGAAATCGTCCTCTTGAATAAGCCTTTAATATTTATAAATCGCTTACTTCTGTAATAAGATCATAAAGACTTGTCAATGTAAAACTGCATAAACGAACTTTAGACAATTTATTGCCTTCGCTTATTAAAAGATTGAAAAAAATATCTACATGTTGCTCTAAATTGTTAACTTCGTAAAAATCGATATTAAGAAAGTCAGAAATTGTCAAATAATTCAAAGAAAATTCCAAAAAATTTTCAAAAGAATTATTGCTAGCCGATAAAAAGGGGTTTTGAATGTTAAATTTAATTGGAATTTTGTTGTTGTCATCAGATAATAAATTAATCATTTGTGGATTAAAAATAATTTTTTCAAACCAGGCACGTTCAAAAGTACAAACAAGAAGCTGTTCTAACCAACATCGACTAATAATCATTTCTTCCAGATTTTTTGGGATAATTGGAAATTCCAGAATATAATTACTTTGTTTTTTGTTCACTAAATAGAAAAATTAAAAAAAAATTTATTTTTGAATTATTAAAGCAAAAAAAAACAACGCCCGAATTTTGGATAATTCTTTGGTTCAGAACTCCCATCTTTTTTTCTGACCATTTTTCTTCACCTTCCTCCTTATTTTTCATGAGGCAAGTATCAATCACATGCTTGCATGGGGTTGATCTCTGAACCGGATAAATGCCAAATTTTGTGGGAAAAAGAAACGTGACAAAAATTATCTCCCTTAAACTTAACGGCACGTTTTATATTGCCAAAAGCTTGAAATGCCAAACCCCCAAAAAATGTTGAAATACCAAAGTGTTGTTCCAACAACGGGAAATGTTGTTCCAACAAAGGAGGATGTTGGTCCGTCAACGGGGGATCAACATCACACTTCCTCTGTCATTGGAACCGTCCCCGTCATTTGAACAACAGACATCCGTTGGAACACCTTTCCCCGCAATTTGACTACATTCCCCGTAGTTCCGCCCCTCCCCGCACGCCTTAGAGTTTTTCTAGCGAGCATTTAATTGGAACAACAACATCCTTGTTGTTGGAACAAACAAAAAATTTTTATCAGAAATAACAACAAAATTTATAGTTTGGTATTTATTTAACATTTCAGGCTTTTTTCCACGGTTTGGCAATTCAACAGCTTTTGGGGGTTTGGCATTACAAGCTTTTGGCGATATAACACGTTACCAAACTTCAAACCTGTTTTCTCCAAACAAACATAAAAATTTCCATTTTCAACAGATTCAGAATTATGTAAAAACAACGGAATAGATTCATTTATAGCCATTTTCCACTAAAAAATAATTATATAATTTAATTAAAAATAATTTAACCTTTTTCAAAAGTCGATCATTTAAAGTAAATTCAAAAATTAAAGAATCTGGTTTAATAATTTTATATGTTTCTGGCATGCGAATAAAATTTTGCTGACAAGTAGCCTAAAAAGAGATAAGCAAATTAATATTTATTTTACTATGTCGAGTTGATAAAAGTTCATTCTAGCCAATCCATTTTCATATTTATTAACCAAATTTCGAAAGTAAAAATTTGTTTGTTTAAAAGAAAATAATTGATCGAAGTCAAGACATTTTAACACATCAAGTTGAATTTCAATTGGTATAGAATACATTTTAAATTTTAAAGAAAATTAATTGACAATCTAAAAAGAAAATTTTAACAACAAAATTTTAATTCTACAAAAACACTCTCTCAATATTTAATTGTCCAACAAAAAAATATTCAGTTGATTCCTTTTAAATTTCGTGTCAGGGCAGTTCTTCGAACGGACACTTCGGCCAGACAAACTTCGGCCAGACAAAACTTCGAATGACCATAACTTCGTCCAAAAAGCTTGGGGTTATTTTGGCGCAAGCAATTATTTCTTTAAACAGGCTTTGGATTTTTTAGTACTTTTCGGGATCGATTTTTTCCGCTACTTCCGGTACCGAAAAAATCCAATTGCCTGTTTAAAAAAATAATTGCTTGCGCCAAAATAACACCATGCTCTTTGGACGAAGTTTTGGTCATTCGAAGTTTTGTCTGGACGAAGTTCTGGTAATTCGAAGTTTTGTCGGTCGAAGTTTTGTCTGGTCGAAGTTTTGTCATTCGAAGTTCTGCCCCTCACCCTTTAAATTTCCTTCTTCAAATATTCTGGACATAAGAAATTCTGTCAAAATGTTCCCTTTTGGACTGTAGATATATTGGCAAGTTGGTATTTTGTATGTTTACATTTTGAATTATTCAATTTAAAATGTTTTCGCGTTATTATTTAATTTTAAATTTGGGGTGAAATCAGAGGGGTTTCGTATTAGAGAGATTCTAATGTGCAAATTGTATAGAAAAGTTGGTGTTACGACAATTGCGGATTCGCACGTGCGGATGCGACAATTGCGGATTAAAAATTAAAAAAATTTTTTTTAAATGATTGAAATGATATCCCGTTTTTTAGTCCCGGCTATCAGTCTCAGACTTCTAACGGTTTCCGAATCATTTTTAGACTGATGTGGCATCGAAAACTTTAAAAAATCTTAAATTTTTTATTTATATCCGCAATCGTCGCATCCGCACGTGCGTATCCGCAATTGTCGTACCGCCGAAAAGTTCTCAATAGAAATTAGAATCTTTTGTGATTTCTGTCAAAAACATTTTGACAAAGCTTCAATGAGTAAAAAACCAAATACAGTAAATCTATAAAATACTATATGTATTTAAATGGGGCCTTTATTCAATTATTTTATCAAAAAAACAAAACAAAAAAATTTTATTATAACATTTTATCTATTTCTAAATCATTCAAATCCATTTTTAATGTTGCTTTAATCATCGAAACACTTGTATGATTTACCATAACACTGTATTCATCAATTGGTGTCATATAGCCAAGTTGCTGTTCACTCCACAAATCCTCTACTGAATAACCACCCAAATAGGTTAATCCCAATGAAAATAAACTTTTTGAGAATTTCTGAAAATTATTTAATTTTTAAATAAAAAAATATTTTTTGACGTTATAAATTTATTTTAAAAATTTATTTAGAAAAATTTCGTTTTACGCATGGTTTTGTTCCGTAATTAACCACGGCAATAGCATATGAATAAAGTTCTTTTTTAGGAATAGCGGGCATCATTTCCTTCACAAAAACATATAAACTTGCTTCCTAAAAATGTTTGAGAAATAATTCTTTTGAGCTTGTAAATTTTACTCAACCGTTAAACCTCGCTATAATATAGATATTACATTTTTAAGGCCGAAAAAATTTTGTCTTATAATGATATGTATCCGAAATAGGGATATTTCTTAGACACCACCCCTCTTATTGTGTGGTTTTTTGTAAGGTCTTATATTTTAATTAGCTTTTCTAAGGTAAACTTCAACCTTATAAACCATCCTTCCAAAAATCCCCAAAGGGTCTTGATCGACTGCTATAACATTTTTATTTAGAAGAATCTTTTTATTTTCGTTTGAAATAGTTCTCAAATCATTTGACATTATTAAAGGAGCAGACCAAATAGCCCAAACGCTTAGTTGGACTTGTGCTTGTGAAGGGGTAATTTCAGGATTCCCAGCAACTATCTATAAATTGTTTTATTTTTAGTCACAAAATTCTCGATTTTTAAAGAACCATATCCGGGTCATTCCAAGCTCCCGGCCTTTGTGCACTTCGTAAAAGTTCTTGATTTTTAACATAATAATGAATTATAGCTGAAATTTTTTAAAATTTTTCTTTAATTTCAAATAATTTTCTTTACAAAGAATAGACTTCCAAGAACGGTCAATATCATTATAATTTCTCCAAAGATTGCAATGCTCCCCAATTAAAGGATAAACTAGTGCTTTATGATTTTCGTATAAATAAGCTGGCCAAGAGCAAGAATAGACGATTGGGCGATTAGTTTTGAGAAGCGAATTTCCCATTTTGATGTATTCTAAATTAAATTTGTTTTATTTTCGATTAATTTAAAAATAATTTCTTGTTTACTCCTAATGTAAGATCAAACCATTAGGCATCCGCTCAAATTCAATATTGCATGCATCCAACTTCAAATAATCAGACCCCCATTCTGCAAATGTCTGTGCATCTGTTTCTAAATGGTCCATAGTGCCTGGGAAACCGGCACATGTTTTATCTCCAATATCAGAATAGATGGCAAATTTAAGGCCTCTAACATGCATCTTTTTACAATAATATTTTTTTTTAATTTTATTTTTTAAATTTACATATTCAGCAAGGGATTTAATTCCCGAGGGAAATCTTGTTTGATTGGCAACGAGTCTCCCATTAGAATCACGGTCTCTAGCCTCCCAACAGTCATCGATGTGGACTGAAACATAACCAGCATCTCTGTAACCACCTTCAACTAGTTTATCAGCCATATCCTTTTAAATAAAATTGGGAGAGTAAAAAATACCATTTTCCCCAGTAACTATACTAGAGTGAGGTGAATCTAGCCGATCAGAAATAACAATTTCTATGAACGTATTTTTAGCTACGTATATAAACTACTATTGATGTTCGAGAGTTAAAAAACGCCGAGTTGAGAGTCGAGACCGAGAATCAACCCCGAGATCGAGAGTCGAGAGACTACCAGTTGACCACTATTAAAGAGCTTCTCAATAGTTACGGAGCTGCCCCCGATTTAGTACCATCAGATCCCAAAATTGATTGATCGAGTTTACCCTCATTTCGTATTAATTTTGCTTTCATTTACATATTTATCTCACTAATCTAATTAAAATTTAAAAATTCTCAAAAACCCAACTTTATATAATTGCTCATTAATACAGCCAGTTGGATATTTAAAACAATTAATTTCACAATAAAATATTGTCCAAGACATCCAACCCATTGGAGGTGTTCTAGCAAGTCCATTTTCGAGAGTCAAAATATTTTTAATTAAAATAAATAAAATTAATATTTTAAATGACAAAAGATTTGTTGAGGTAATAAAAATATTCATTTTTATCAGAGGAATAATTTTTGTATTTAATTTTGAATTTAATGGTAAAAATTCACTTTAAACAAGTCGTTTAAATATAAGAATTTTAAACAAAGCAAAAGAGTTAAAACTGACCAACAATACTTAGAGAGATTTTTGGAAGGGTTTTGCATAAATTTACAATTTTAAATAAATTGTCTGACCACTCAATTCTGACCGACTTTATACTTTTTAGATCCTTTTTGTATTAGAAATGAGGATATTATTTTAAATAGTATTTACAAAAAATATTTTGTACAATTATTTACTGAACATATTTTTTATAATAAAAATTAAAAGCAAAAGATTAAGTATAGGTTCTGAATTATTTCTTTATACCAGAGACCTAATTCGAGAATTGACAGAGATTCTATAACATATCCGAATAAATTTACTTATCCGGTCATTTTTAAATTTTATTTTTAAATTAGATACTTTATATTTATGTAATTGACAGAAGAATTATGTAACTGAGGTCGGTCGAAATTCCGATTTCCGAAGTTTTTTTCTTTCCGACTTCCGAAAATTTAGGCTGATTTCAGACTATTGAGCCATTTTCGAGTTCCGACAGTTGCGATTTCCACCACCTTCGTCATTTCCGACCGACCCCTGTTATGTAGCATACCAAACAAACAAAAATATACTGTATTTTGAGCAAAACCAATGAGATATTTTTACTTATTATTTAATAATTAAACTACAATTCTATTAAACACGAACAACATTTTCAGAATCATCAGACATTCCACTTTTCGATTTTATAGTTGAGGTTCGTGAAGTATCAACCTTCGAAGACGGTGCTCCACTCACTGTAGCTGTTACACTTGCCGTCGTTGCACTTCCATAAGACTTGACAGATCCGGAACTTTTTTTGTCCCTTTGCTTTACCGTTGGTTCTGGTGGCGGTGGAGGCTGTTTTTTATACCCACAATAAATTCTAATAATGTGCCAAAGCAAAACACTGAAAATTTGTCCCATTAAAGAGCTTTATGTATTAAGAAGAAACTCACAATACAAGTGCAATTAAAGCCCCAACCAACAAACTGTTTCGAATTTCGTGTTCACTAATGCAAATAATTTCCTTTAATGAGAGGAGATTTTAAGTAATTTAATTTAAAATAATTATTTTTACCGGCGCCTCCGTTGTTGGTGTAGTCGAAGATTCCACCCATAACCATGGAGGACCATCCATCATCACCGTCGTATCTTCTTGAGACATGGCAAGATTGCTAAAATTTGAACCTTATTGAAAAAGGGATAAAGAAGTGATGGATAATATCTTTTATACTAAAAATCTCTCAAACTCTTGATAAACTTCCACCCTAAATGATAATGAATATTAGTTTAAAAAATTATTTTTTTGTTTCAAAATTATATACCGTAGATGCTCTAATTAAAGCCCGGCTCTATTAAAAGCCCATATCTACTATAATCCACCTAAATTGACCCATTGGAAAATAGATGCCTAGGGCTTTAATTAGAGCATTTACGGTATTTTGTGAGGGTAGACGAAAACTACGTTGGCAAAATGTCTGTTGGCATTATGTGTATTTCTTTCAAAAAATGTTCGAAATCCCAAATGAATATTTGAGTAAAAAATTTCCAAAAGAAAAATTGAAAATTTCTACAAAAATACAAAAGATTTTTTTAAATTTTTTAATTTTAAATTAAGAAAAATGGAAAAACACAATTTTCTTGTCCGAATGCATAATCTTCCCCGTAATTCAAGTCTTTGTCAAATTTTACATTTTATTTGGGAAACTGTCGATTTTGAACCAGATGAAGCTTTGGTTAGAGCATATAGTGCAAATGATGCAATTGTTGGTTTTGTAAATAAAAAATTTGCTGATGAAACTGGTTTGGATTTTTTAAAATAATTTTTTTTTCTGTCAAAAGTAAGGTTGTGTTTCCTTTTTTTTCTAAACTTCCTACTTAACGAGGATTATGGCGGCATTTTGGGTGTCGATATTTAGGGTCAACGATATTTTGGGTGTCGATATTCTGGGGTGGAGTCATGGGCAATCCCGGAGAATCGTGGTCCCTGCGGAAAAAAATCTTAAAAATAAGAAAAAGGATTTTTCTAGGGTAAAAAAATATGCTAATTACGAATCTGAACTCAGATTTTCAAAAAGTCGAATCCCGAACCCGAATTCGGACATTTGACCCCGGACATTGTCGGAATTGTACAAAATGGTTGGTACAAATGTTTATTGTACAAAATGGAGCTCGATGAGTAGAACTCATCGAGCTGCATCGAATAACACCTAAATCAATGAAATCCGACCGGGTTGGACCGAGATACAGACCTCTGAATATTGAAAAACCACAGGGTTGGTCTTTTGGAGTAAAAAAAGTTTATACAAATGATAACTCATTCGAAAGAGCTCGTCGAGATGAGTCGAATGACACCAAAATTACAGTGATTGATCAAGTTTTGACAAAGTTATGACATAAGTCGCCGACTCCTACAGTACTCCCATAGGTTTACTTTATGTCATAACTTTGTCGAAACTGGTCTGATCGCGTTGATTTTGGTGTCATTCGATGCAGCTCAACGAGCTCTTTCGAACGAGCTATCACTTGCATATTCGAAATTCAGGTTCAGAGTTCGAAATTCGGTCCGGGTTCGGGATTCGACTTTTTGAAAATCTGAGTTCAGATTCGTAATTAGCATAATTTTTTACCCTAGAAAAATTCTTTTTCTTATTTTTAAGATTTTTTTCCGCAGGGACCACGATTCTCCGGGATTGCCGAGTCATGTTTGAATATGACATGGAGAAAAGAGGAAAGGGAAAAATTTGACCATTACGTACAATCTTAGCGAAGGAAAAAATGGGGAGAGGGACCATCTTCAGAATCACCTTTTTTTGTTTGGTGCCAAACACATCATATTGGGAGTTTTTAAAAATAAAAAAGGGGGACACAAACTTAAATTTTTAACCTATTTTCTGTTCATTCTTATCCTTTTTTCAACTTTTCTACTTCCCATTTTAATTATTTAAAAATTTTTTCTTTAGTTCGTTATTGCAATGGCCGTGGATGGTATGGACGAATTATTAGCGTTTCTCCTTCTAACGACGAAGAATTACAACAAATAATTGAAGAAAGCAAAATTGCTGGTCCAGATAAAGGACCTGAAAGATTGGGAAGACGGAAAAATATTGAAGATGAAATATATAATGATGAAAATAGAAATGATTTTGATGAAGATAATGCTGATTTCGTATTTGGAGGGTTGGATAATTACAGTGATAGTGGTAAATAATTTTTTATAAAAAATTTTTTGGGAAAGTTTTCCGAATTACAGGTTGGGGAATATTTATCATTCTAATATTTTTTTTTAAATTTTATTTGAATTTAATTTTTTTGGCTCCCATCCATTGGATTAAAAATTGGATTTTTTTTGAATTTTCTTAGGCCTTTTACTTTTCAATACCTTTTAGCTAATTCATTAGCTTATTTAGCATCTATTGGCAATTTTAAAAACAACTATAATTTTAAAATTCATATAGATATAAAAAGATAGTTCTAAATCGACTCGTATTAGTTTCTGAACAAAAAAATTTCATCGGACAAACCCTAACTTTGAACTCCAAGAAAATCCAGAACATAATCTGGACATGATCCTTTGGATGCTTTTATATTTTAATTTTTCTACAAATATTTATTTTAATATTTTAGACTCTGATGATTTAAACCTAATGGTGCCTGATTATTTTTTACATGGAACAGCTCCTGACACATTAAATTTCAATAATTCGCAAAATCCTGAACGCCTTCCAAAGAGTAAAAATGCTGGTCAAAAATCTTTAACAGCAAAGCAAAATTCGTTTGACAGTTCACGAGAAAGTCAAAGAACGATAAATAATTCTGACAAAAGTTTGGATGATGAGATAATATTTGAAAAGAATACTTCAGCAACTGCGGGGGTTTTATTTTTTTTAATTTTAATTTTTATTTAATATATAGCCACCAACCAAGCACCGTAAAAGAGCAAGACGACGACCTGGAAAGGAACAGAGAAGAAAGTCGGCTGAGGAATCTTCGTCTCAACAGTCTTCTGCTCTTTCTCACCAAAAATTGACAGGAAAAAGATTGAGGTTTAAAGATTTAAAATTTTTATTTAGTTTTTTTAAAAGGTATTTAAAATATTTGGTTAAGTTATCAATAAAATTTTCTTTAATACTGAAGAATACAGACCCTCTTTTTTCCTTCCCAATGTTCCCCCTATATTTTTACAAAATGGCCAGACTTTTCCTTTCTTCCATTCAATTTGCCTGTCTAATTTTTGCCTACAATCAAACAAAAAGGATTATTTTTTATATTTTCCCGTTTTTCCTTTCTAATTTAGGGGGAAAATTGGGAAGGAAAAAAGGGGGTCTGTATTTTTCAGTATTACCAAATTTTTAATTCAAAATAACTAAAAATTCTTATATTTTTTGGATTTTTCATTTTTTCGGGGTTATTTTTTATTTGAAGTAAAATGAAAAATTTTTGCTTTCTAATTTTTTTATTTCTTTTCTAGACTTGAATCTTCATCGCAACAGCCTTCTCCTTTGAATTCTGCTAATTCATCTTTCCATAAAGTGCCAAATTCTGTAATGCTTTTTGAAATTTAAATTAAATTATCTCACAATTTTTAGATTCAATCAGCTTCTTTTGACCAAGCATTAAATCGTTTTCCTATCCCATCTATACACACAATACCTGGTGAATTTTTGTTCTCTCCAATTATATTTTCTAAAAAAATTTTTTTTTAAATTTTAGTTCGTCAATCTCCTCCAATTCCTTATAACCGTGGCGCAAAATGGGGTCCTCCACCAATTTCATTTCCTCAACTTTCTTCTTCTTCAGCTTCAACTTCAATTTCTTCATTTTCTGTTAGAGATACAACACCTTTTGAAATTCAAATAATTATTAGTTCTCAACATTGTTTACTTAAATGGAGTATTCCTGATGGTATAAAATTATATTTTTTAAAGAAAATATTAAACAGAACATTAATTTTAATAAATGGATGGGCTAGATTATTCTCATTATCGAGCATGAAAATAAAATTTTGATGCCAACAAAAAGGAATTAAAATAAATGAACAAACAGAAAAATAAATAAAAAATTTTCAAACGAAATTCGAGACGAAAATCAGCAACCGAAATAATTTTCTGATGTCCTCCGTTCGGTGTGCGGACATCGGACATATCGGGATTGGTGTGAGAAAAATAATTTTTTGCGTGTCTACGTTTGTTCTAAAACATAAAAACTTTATTCTTCGATGGGACAATATACTTTCCAAGACCCAGTGACCAGGCCCGTAGCCAGGGGGGGGGGGTGAGGGGGGAATTCCCCCCCCCCCCGAAATGGGAAAAAGGAAAAAATTTGGGGAAGGGCTGGGGCAAAAAAAGTGAATTTTTTTGGCCTACGGCCTCTGAAATTTAAAAAATTTTCGCCTTCGGCGCTAAAAAAGGAAGAAATCTAGCTTCTTGAGGTCCAAAATTAAAAAAATTTTCGCCTGCGGCGCTGAAAATCAAATTTTTGGCGCCTGCGGCGCCGAAAAATTGAATTTTTTTGGCCTAAGGCCTTCTAAAATTCTCAAAATTTTCGCCTGCGGCGCTGAAAATAATTTTTTTTGGCGCAAAAAATCCCCCCCCCCCCCCCCCCCCCCCCCCCGAAAAAAAATCCTGGCTACGGGCCTGCCAGTGACCGTAGGTTCCGAAATCAGTAGGGTAACTGTTACTTTGAAATATCCCGTTATGTCCATCCCGATATGTTCGCGTGTCCTCTCTTCCCTATAATCCTACTTTTTACAAATTTTAGTCCAATATTTTTTCCCTAAAATTTATATATTTTTAAGATATCTACATAAACAGTCAATCAGTTGAAATAACTGGAGGTACTGATGAGAAGATTATTCAAAGATTAGCACGGGAAAAACAATATTTACAGGTTATATTTTTAACTTTATTTCTAGATTTTATAATTTTTTTAGAAAGTAACACCTGGTACTAGATATTCCGCTACAATTCAAGGTTTTGATGTTGAAGGGAGACAATGCGCAATTTCATCTGTTCATTATAGAGCATGTTTGTTTCTTGCTTATTTTGATTTTTTTTAATTGAAATTTTATTCTTTTCACAAAATAAAAATTTTTAATTTAAAGATTTTTCAAAAAGTGAATTGGAACGTGTAATGGCTTTAGCTTCACGATTTTGTGGTGATCTAATGTATCAATTCGATATAGTCCATCGATGTAAACCAAAATCCTATTTTGATAATATATATTCTCAACCGGGTAAATTTAATTTTTTTTTCAAAATTTTGAGAAATTTTTGAGATTTTTTCTACAATTTTGACAAAATTAATTTTTATTTTATTAATTTATAAAATTTTTTTTTTAAATTTGAGATGGTCAACGAATGATGATGCCTTATTTGAAAGACGAAAATGGCCATCCAGGCTGTCCAATTAATGGCGAAATAGAAGGATGTTTCTTTTCTTCATTACTTCAAGGCGATAGTTTACCTAATGCTTCTCCTTTTGGGTTAATATAAAGTTAAAAAAGAAATTTCTAATTTTTATTAATTTTTAGTGATGTCCAAATGATATTGGAAGTCAACAAAATATTAGATTTTAAAAGAATGAATATGTATTTTGCTGATTTTTATTGTAATCAAGCATTTGCTGGCGGCCAAGGAGTCTCCTCTGCTTTACATTATATTACTGTTGTTGTTTGTGAAAAAAGTTCTCAAACTGATAAGTAATCTTTTCATAAATTTGCAATATTTTTTAATAAATAATTTTGCAGGTTTTGTGCTAATCGTTTACTCAGACTTGATCCATCAAACAATAAATTCCTGAAATTACTTCCGACTTCAAATTCTGGTTCTCCTCGTTATCTTACAAACTCTACTTCAGGATTGCTAGTTGAAATTTATTATACAAAACCTGTTTCTTTATTTCAAGCAAAAAAATTCCGTGAAATCTCAACAATTGGAAAAGGCAGTTCTAGGCCTATGGGTAAAATTACAATTAAATTTTTTGAGATAAAAATTATTTTTAGGTCTTCCAAATAATAAATTGTGCAAAATCTGCAATTGAAAATTTAGAAAAACTTTTAATTGCTAGTCTTTTTGAATCTGCCATTTTACATTTTTTTATTAACAAATTTTACATTTAAAAATATAATAAAATCTTTAACAATGAATATTGATAAAAGTAGAGAATGTTAAGAGACATTTTTACATTTAAATTTCTCTACAGGGTGCGTAAAAAGTTCCCGGAATTAATCAAAATGGATTTATTTTCTTGTATATCATAATAAAAATAAGTTTACACATACAAAACGTTTATAAGGATCATGTAAATAAATAATCATAACAAATTTTCAAAATGAGATCCGACAGCCGAGATACACGCACCCAAACACAGCCGAAAAATTCCTTCGTTGGTCGCGCACCCCTCTTCTGTTATTGATCCCCAGGAATATTTTAATGCCGTCCTAAGTGGCTCTGTTGACGTGTGTCGTGTGCAGGGGAGTCTCTGCTACAACTTAGACCAGACCAAAAATCCATTGGATTGAGGACCGGTGAGTTACAGGGCCAAATATCCTTTCCCCAAAATCCATGAAACAACTTTGCATTGAGGTTAATTGTTGTTTTAGCTCCATGTGCTGGTACCAAGTCCTGTTGTAAAATAAAATCATTTTCACCAAAATGTTGATGCTTCCAGGGAAGTAAAACATTCATCAAAATTTCATTTTGATAGACATAAGCATTGATTTTGACGTTTTTGGCGATAAAAACCAACGGTGTCTTCCAATGGCACAAATTCCTCCCCGAATCATCACAGATTGCGGGAAAAGTCTTTTTTACACACCAATTAGTCTTACGGACTTATTGGTGTCAGTTTCTGATATTGTGACAGCGTTGGACGGTAAAAATTTTTATTTAAGTAAACAACACCCGTTTAGCCGACCAGCTGCGACCAAGCGCTTCAAAAAACGACATTTTTGGGGGAGTTTTGAGAGGACTTTTTGACGTGTCTGGTGAAAACGGCAGTGGTGAATTGGGCAGTGAGTAATTTGGGCAGTGAGTGATTTGGGCAGTAAACGTTTTTTAAAAAATAATTTTACACGCAAAAACAATTTGAGTAACATCAGAAGAATAATTTTGAGTGATTTGGGCAGTAACTTAGAATTTTTAAATTATTTACACAAAAATTCAAAGAACCGCACCCCTTTTTCATTTTGATAACGTTGTAGGTACAACATTAGCCTTTGTTGAAATCGTCTTGGTCTCAATTTTGACGTTTCCCTAGGTGATAAGTAGATTTAAGGTATGAAAAATTGAGAAATAATTCCTATTTTAAGTTTTTAGGTCTCAAGATAGGTCCAAAATATCTGAAAAAGGTCAAAATAGTTTTGGAAAAATATGTTCAAATTTTGAATTTACTTAAGTTAAATAAAAATTCCCGAAATTTTTCTGATCAATTTTAGATTTTTAAAAATTCTAAGTTACTGCCCAAATCACTCAAAATTATTCTTCTAATGTTACTCAAATTGTTTTTGCGTGTAAAATTATTTTTTAAAAAACGTTTACTGCCCAAATCACTCACTGCCCAAATTACTCACTGCCCAATTCACCACTGCCCAAATCACACGGCACCCTTTTTGACACTATTCTCTGAAAATTTTTTATAGACTAAATGTTTTCTGAACCAAAAATAGTGCTGAATATGATTGTGAACGAATTTTGTTTTAATAATCAATGGTTAAACCCAATAGTTGAAATTTTAAAAATTCCGGGAACTTTTTACGCACCCTGTAATTTTTGTATTACTTATGATTCACTTTGAAATGTTCGAAACCCGCTTCTTCAATATCACTTGTTTTATACCTTTTCCATTAATCACAGTATATTGTTGACCCGGGTTCAATATAATCTTCAATTGCCTGCAAAAGAGTAGGAGCCTTCCGCTCATGTACCTTTAATAAAATACAATACTTAAAACATAAAAGCTGTCTACCGTAACAATAAAACATTCGTTTCCCGGAGATTGTTGTGGCAAATGTCCAAGAAGGCATGTTCCAGTAAAGGGATTAGGATTTATACAAAAATTTTTGCAACATGATGATATAGGCTTGTTGCTAATTATTTTCCAATCTGTTTTCAATTCCATAAATTTCTTAAAATTTTAAAGTTAAAGTAAAATCGCTAAAAACAACCATTCTAGGAATTACTGATTGAAGAGCAGCATTTTGTCGATTCACAATATTTATAACATCCAAATCAGATGCTCTAATAAACTCATTAACAGTAACATCATTTCTAATCATATATCCATTATTAACAGCTGCGCGTAGAGTATGATTCTTTTTAATTAATTTAAATAATTCGTTGTTTTCCACGTTCATCTAAAAAAGACAATGAAAAAATAAAACATTGGTAAATAATTGTTGTTATTGGGTATCTTAACAAATGTTTGTTTCCAAGACAAGACGGTAAACACTAAAAATACATGTTTTTGTAGAACTAAAATACTGAGAAAATATAATAGTATTTTGTTTTCAACATTTATAACTTCACAAAATTTTTCAAATTATCTAGTTTGACGCTTGTTTATTATTATTAGAGTTTAAATTCAATTCAAAACATAACAAAAACATGCAGTATAGTATACGTGTAGAATGCATTTTTCATAAAACGAATGCGAATCTAGTCATATATTTATTTTTATTTTACAAAAGATGAAATAATGCAAAAAAATTATAAAAGTTTTAACATGTTAAAAAGCAATTAAATCTTGAACTTTAAATTTCCTTAATTTTCTGTATTATAGCATTAACTTTAATTCTTCATTCTGCCTCTGAATTTTTGTAATATCGACAAACCTCTTTTTCTATTACTTTTAAAATTTCAGGATAATCAATTAGAAGTCCCTCCTTAATTTCCCTTATTTTTCTGCATAGGTCTTTAATCTCATATTTTTCCTCGTGCTTGTAATGATAAAAATCGAGATCTAACTGAAATTTTTACATTTATATTAGTATATTTATTAAAAAATTATTTTTTTTTATTTATGATAGTAATTTAAGTAATTAAATATTAAATGAAAGATTTTGCTATTTTGGTTAACTATACTTGAAAAAAGTGATTCAAGAACCGAGGATTTTAAAAAAACAGAACGAAAAAATTAACGGTTTAACTTGCTCCCTCACTATTTGGAATTCATTAAGTTTTTAGAAATCAAAAAATTATTCTATAAATATATCACAATTGAATATAATAGAATTTTTGGGGGTTAACTTTATTATTTTGATAGAATTACCTTTCTTAATTTAAATGCCTTTTCAGAGATTTTGTAGATTATACTAGAACAAATAAGAATATTTGGAGCGTAAACAAAAAATTCTTTAATATTTTGATGAAGTATAAAAAAATCGGTTAACGTTTTAAACCATCTAACAACTTGGGGTATAAATCCGGAAGTCCGTTCCAGCTCCGGCTGAAACTTATCGAAATTACTTACAAATACATGCAGAATGCCATTCACTCTGCCAGGTGTTAAGATACCTAAACTAGGTAATTCAGTTTGTGAAGTTTTTATTGACTTAATTATTTCTACAAGTAATTCAATTGGCAAGATTTTTCTATTAATTTGTTGCCTTTCCATTTATAATATTTTCAAAAAATTTTTTATTTGTTAATTTAAATTTTAAAATTAATTTTGATGAAGTAGGAAATATTTTGTTTTTGTCTGTATGATCCTATAGAGGGTAAAATATTCATTATATTTGCTTTTTATTTTATTACCCTTCATAAAATTGACCTTTATAATAAAACCCAGACATATATTCAATTATTTTATTGTATTTTTGTTTTGGAACTGATAATAAAGTTAAATATTTGTCAGAATATTTTGGTAAATAGAAATGAGTTTAGATTTTTTTATTTGCTTGAGAAAGAGTGTAAATATTAAAAAATAGAACGGAAAAATCTTATTATTTGATAAGTTTATTTGTAAGTATAATCTTATTATTTGGCTGCCAACTAACAATTTTTAATTCTAAAAATAAAATATTCTAAGCAGTAACTCATAAAATGATCCTCCTAGTTTTTAAAGCAACATCATAATTATAGAAATTTTCATATATTAAGTATCAATTTATAACTCATTCTTCAACTATTCTATATAATAAGCATTGGTTTATATCAAATTGCCCTTTCCAGGCAATCAGAGAAATAATTAGGTAAAGTTCAAAAATGGGCAAATAAAGCTTAAAGAGGTACAAGGACCACTTTGGTTGTCAAAAATAACTGTCTAATAAATAAATCTTTACCACAAATCCTAAATAAAAAATATAGTAGTAAAATATTTATTAAATTTGTTCATTATTTAGACATTGTTGTTTTCATTCCTTTCTCTTCCTAAAGTCCAAATAATTGTTTGTCCGGCCCCCGTTGATGCTAAATTTAAATGATTTAAATTTATTATAAATTATCGTATTTAAAAATTTATTTTTCTTTAAATGCAAAAATTTAATGAATGAATGGAAAAAATTTTTTTATTAAATTTAAATTTTTCCTTTAATTTTTCAATTATTTTTAAAATTATTTTTGTTTTAAAATTCCTTACCAATTACTCGAAAGCCCAATTCTGATAATCGGTCCAATACTTTTCTAGGTGTCCATTCAGTAATATATTCTGCAAAACGATTGCCTAATTGCATAACCATTTTAGCTCCGACCTGAGCCATTAATTCTGGATTAGATTCGTGGTCCCCAACAACTGTTGGCCCTGTTTCGCATCGAAATTGTGTTGAAACGAAAATATGTTCCATTATTATAATTATTTTATATTTTTTAAAGAAATTTTAAAAATTTACAAGAATATTTTTTATAATTAAAGAAAACTAATTTTTATATTATTTGAGGAAAAACGTGTTTGATGACATTAATCAATTTTTAGTATATGGCCATAAAATTCAATAAAATTATTATCAAAAACATAAATTACAATTTTTCAAAATTATTTTTTTATTTTTGTTTGACAAACAATTCTTTCTCATATTTTTTAATTAAAAAATTCAAAAAATAAAATAAATTTTAATATTTCAGAATTTTTTTTTTTGAAAATTCTTCTTTCAGTTATAAATATACCTAAGTAATTACTAATTAATAAAAGAAAAGTTACATAAATAATTAAATTTTAATTTCCTTTATTTTCTTCGTTAATAACATTTTCTGTAACTGCATAATCATCATTTATTAATGGATATTTTTGGCGAACATCGTTGATGTAAATAAGTGGATTTGTTGATTGATAAATTTTGCTATCACCATTCTTTTCCTCATTGTTCCCTTTATTTTTTTACTTAATTATTTTATTAATAGTTGGGTTTTATTATTATATACAAGAGAATTATCAACAAAAATTATAAGGGTATTTAACATTCATGTTCGAATGTATTTATTTTTATTTATCCAAATTTTTAATTTAAATACCCGTCAAAATTTGCTCATTCCCTCTTCGTAATTCTCTCATTTCTGCTTCCAAATAGTCTATTGTCCTTAAAGAATTTTCATAAAAACAGCGTTTCATCTCTGAAAATCTTTCAAAACAGGGCAAATAACTTAAATCGAGTAAAGTCTCATTTTCAGGCATCTAAAAAATATTTTTTTAAAATTTTATTTTAAATTTTTCCTTCAACTTGGTCACAAAAAAGGAGACATTTTGGCCCAGCTCTAGTCTGTTCAATACCAGAACGTAAACAACATTCACGATGGTCTTGGTTTTGTGAAGCACAAAAGTGTATAATTGAAGCAGATTCTATGGGGCAATCATTAGAGTTGAGAAACATTGAACGAAGCTTTTTTTAAAAGAAAATAAATTAATAGAAAATTGACATTAATTAATTTTAAAATTAATTATTTAATAATTTATTTTTTTTTAAATTTAATTCAACTGTTTCTGCTGTGTAATTATTAAATGAACATTTAATTAAACACTGGGGAGGCAATGACCAACTTCTACAACATTCAAGAAATATTGAATCTGGATTTGTCTTAAATTGAAAATTAATTCTTAAATTATTTTCTTAAGATTCTCGGAGAAATAATTTCAAAAAATTTTTTCAATTTACTTGTATTGCTCCAAAATCATCCTTTTCTTCCTCCCCATTTTCACCATCATTAGTTTTATTATTTTCGCTACTATCCGACTCATTTAATGACAATGTTTGTGAGCCTTTTAAACTGTGATGATGTCTACAAATACCTCCATAACAATTTCTGTAATAAGTAGCCCCACTTGCAGTTAAACATCTTTGATAGCCTGGATATCCACTGAGAAAGGAACAGCCACCAAGACTTATACACTATATATTTTTAAATTAAATTATTTTGATTTTATAATTTTTAAAGTAAATATGTATTTTACTAAAAAAGATAGCCATAAAAATAGCCTTATTAGATATTCACTTTATAGGAGGCGGGATCGGGATCCCGATGGCGGGACCATCCCGGATTTATGAATCCCGATGCCAATTTTATTTCGAAACCTCAATACCGCCCAACCCTATTTTATAGTCAGTATAATTAAATTTCTTTAAAAGAAAAGATAAAGTTAGAGAGCAAAGAGTAAGTTACTCTTCTCACGTCTATACATTTGACTTAAAGATATATGCCAATTAAGACCATTAGAGTCCTGGCATTTGGATATATCTTAACAAAAAGTTTTTTAAATAATTTCCACAAAGACATTGAATAAAGGTATCTATTTCGTTTAAAATAATTTTATTTATGGAAAATTCACTGTGAATTGAGGGGTTTATTTTAATTTTTAAACAAAATAACCTCAGAATTTCTAATAAAATTTTAAAAATAAAAACTAACAGAAAATATTGTCCTTATACACAAACAGATAATTAAAATACTGAATATGATATTTAAATTATTAAGCATTTTATTAGATAAATAAAATTCAAAATAATAATTATAATTTAAAATAATAATTTGTTTTCATTCAATTTTCAAAAATAAACTTCAAGAGAATCTAAAGAAATATCAAATAATTTTTGTCCATTTAAGTGCTTATAAAAAAGACAAGTGTGAACAATAATAATAAAAAATCTGGATTTTTATTTAAAATTATTTTGCAATAAATTTTGAACAATAAAATCGAGTTTTGGTGGATATCCCCTTTTTGCGTCAATTTAAAATTGGATTTTTAATTGTTTGATGACATTGAATTATATATTGAATAAGTAACGGAATTGGGAATTTAAATAAATTTATTAAAAGAAATTTTTATTTGAAGAGTATCCCTTAGTGAATTATACTTCTAAATATTTTTTAGAAGGGACTCTTAATAAAATAGTTATAAAATAGGTAAAAAATAAATAGGGATAATATTGTGGAACGTATTTTGGGAATTCATATGTCCGAAAAACTCCAAAAAATTTCATCGTTCGGGGTGTATTTTTTAAATCGAAATCGGTCGGTTTAGGCCACCGGTTTTCGGTTATCACCGGTTTTTGACCTCCGGTTTTCGGTTTGGTTAACCGATTGTTTCCAACCCTAGTACAAAATAATGAAGCTAAAAAAAGTGGTAATTATTTGAGAACTCAATTTTCCAAGTTTTCCAATCTTTGAAAAACTATTCTATTGAAAATAAAAATATATTTATTTATTTTTTAATCTAAAATTTTTAAATAATTAAAATTAAAAAAATAAAATATATTAAGTAAAATAAATAATTATTAATTCCATGAATTATTGCTGAAGAAAATTGCACGTTTTGTAAACTATTATTTTCTGTTGTTATGTTAGGATTTGGAGTCGTTTTGAAAGAATTATTTTCCAACCAACTCAAATAATCATCAAAATTTATTGGCACTAAATCTGTTAAAATAAATTAAAGTGAAATTATAATTTTGGGTTGTTAATTATAAAAGAATTCTAAAGATACCGTAAATATCCTAATAGAAGCCCTGGGCTTCATTTTTCAATACCCCTCATTGAGTGGGCTTCTAATAGGGCATGGGTTTCTATTAGGGATGGACTTCTATTAGGATATTTTCGGTAATCAAAATCTAAAACATATTAAGAAAAATATTTTTTTATTTATTTTACCCCTTTCATCTTCATTTTCAGAAGCATCAAGCGATGAAATTATTGAATTAATGCTTTCAGAGGAGGAGGAAGACGAAGACTTCTTTCCAGCAGAACTTTCCTCTTCCAAATATTCTTTAAAAAATAATTTTTTCTCGAATTTTTGAATAATTATTATTTTACCATAATCCACAAAAGGATTTCTTTTAAGCATTTTTAGTCCTTCAATTGGGGGCTTAGTTGGATCTGATGTCCACAAAATCCTTGGAGAATTACAAAAATCTTTTTGACATAAACACTGTATTCCATTAGTTTCATGGTCATGCCAACAACCTTCCTCTGTCATTAAATTTGAACCTTGAAGTTCTGCAGCAAAATAGAGACAGAAAGCAACTGATGAACGGTTTAGCGAATTTTCATCTAAAAAATAATAAATTTTAATAATAAATTTTTGGAAGCAATCTTCAGAAAATTTTTTAAAGAAGTAGGTATTCGATGCAGCTCGACGAGCTCTCTCGAACGAGCTATAATTTGCATATTTGAAAGTCGGTTCGGGATTCTAATTTCGGTTCGGGTTTGGGATTCGACTTTTTCAAAATCTGAGCTCAGATTGTAATCAGCATATTTTTTTACCCTAAAAACCCTTTTTCATATTTTTAGAACATTATTTCGTAGAGACCCCAATTCTCCAGGATTGCCAAACAATATATATTTAAATTATGTAATTAATTTAAAAATAAATTTTAAAAAATTATACTATAATAACATACACAAAACACATGCAGATCCTGAACAATTTGTGAATCTCGTACACAATTGTGAATTATCAAAACATTCAAAACAATTAAGTGATAAACAAAAAGGAAATAAGGCAAATATAGATAAAGAAAAAATGAGCAAATAATTGGGGATAGTAAACATTTTTGGAATTATTTAAACATTTAATTTTAATTTTAAATCTATAAAGATAAAAAATAAAATTAATTAAATAAAATATTAAAACGCGCAGATTTCCGGATTTCTAGTCACGTAAAAACAGCAAAACAAGTGGTCAAAACATTAATAAAAATAATAATTAAATAGATATGTAAAGGGTAATAAATTTAAAAGAAAAAAATGCTAAAATTAAAAATGTGTATATATGTATGTATTAAATAATAAATTATAGTAAATTATTGAAGATTTTCAGTTGTGTAAATAAATAAATGAAAAAATAATTAATAATTTTTAAAATAAATAGTTGGAGAATAGAATGTAAAATTAAAATAAAATATAAAATTTATTTAAATGATTTAGGAAAAACTTTTGAAATTTTTTATTGGTTTTGTTAAAATTGTTTTTAATAAATGGAGACGAATTGAATATTAAAATCCTCTATAATTTGATTATGAATCACTACAATATTTTAATTGTTAAAAACACACGAAAATGTGTTTTTATTAAATACATATTTAAATATTTCTTTTAAAGATAGCGCAGGTTTTTATTTTTATTTTATCAAAATAGTTGGACTTTTTGTGGGGGGTTTTCCCCTCCCACGAATAATTCCTCCTCTCGATTAATTCCCCATGCTAGAGTTGGGTTGAAACAATAATTCCCCACCCCCAAATACCCTACTGCACGTTTAAATGCCAAAACTTCTGATATTTGGTCTTTGGGTTGTATTTTGTATGAGGTATTTTTAAAATTTTGATAAAGTTTTGTTAGATTTCCCTCCCTCGATTAATTC